CCGCCTTTTCTGTGGCCGACGTCCGGAGTCCTGGCGGGCCATCATCGCTTCCGGCGCAAGATGCCTCGAGTTGCATCCGTACTATACAAGACTTATTCGCAGCACCCACTGCGCTTAAAGAAGAAGAACCTTCGCCCAAACGGCGCAAATCCAGCAATGGCAATGCCATTCCAGTACGGCCGCAGGCGGACTCTAACGAAAAGAATAGTATTGTCTTAGCCAACGTATCCATCGATTTGGTGAGTAGGCTGGTCGATTCCTATGGTGTCCAACTAACATGTCTACAGAACATGCCTACCCCGTCGCAAGACTCCTCAAGTATCACGTATACTCCGGCCATATCGCAAGAACCCGTAAATCTAGAGCTTGAATCCTGTCGGAGAGACCACACAGGAGATACTCTTCAGATGAAACTCTGGAACGCTGTCAATGAAACGGGTGTCGATCTGGTTGCCACAACTCCCTCTCCTTTCATAGATTCGGCCATACCCCACCTACGGAATGCCTCTGCACTTGCTACCTCGCTTCAGGGCAAAAGATACAAACCTGTTTCTCGCGCGGCTTTCTGTCGATGCCAGCTGCACCCGCCCACGCACGGGCGCAGTCAATACAAGTTGGTAGTGGAGATACGGTGGACTCTGAATATATCTGTGGTTGAGGATCCAGATATTCGAGGCCATTACATGAACGCGGACCTGAAGCTTCTCTCGAAATACATGAGCGATGCGGCTCCGAGAGGCGACAAGTCTTGGACCCTATCCGACTTTTACGATTCCGTACATGTACCACCGGCGGACACAGAGATTTCACCGCTTATCAAACAAGGTTTGATCGACACCAAGCTTCTGCCTTTCCAAGAAAGGACTGTTGATTGGCTCTTGCGTCGAGAAGGCGTTGCATTCTCATCTTCTGGCTTACTGGAGCCTTTTGTCAACACTTCACCACCAGCATCATTTAGGCAGACACAAGATGTGACAGGAGTACCGTGCTACGTCAGTCAGCTGCGGGGCACTATAGTCACCAATTTAGATGCAGCCAAGGACGACACCCTACAGTCGCTGCGCGGTGGCATACTCGCCGAAGAAATGGGCTTAGGTAAAACCGTTGAGCTAATCGCGCTCATATCCCATCACAAGCGGGATATCCTCGATGATAACATCTATGATACATACACTGGAGCTCAGGTTAGGCCTTCAGGCGCTACGCTAATCATTACTCCTCCTTCGATTCTGGAACAGTGGCTGAGCGAAATACATGCTCATGCTCCTGATCTTAAGGTCTGCCATTACAAGGGTCTCCCCTCTCAATCTGCACCAAAGAAAGACCATGCCACAGCCACAATCGACTATCTCATGCAACACGATGTAGTAGTGACGACATATCAAGTCCTTTCGAAAGAGATTCACCACGCTGTACCTCCCCCTGATCGCAGCTCTCGACGTCCAAAGCGTCAGGACCGCCGGCATAGTCCCCTTGTCGGCATCTCATGGTGGAGGGTCTGTTTAGATGAAGCGCAGATGGTTGAAAGCGGGGTTAGTCAGGCCGCCCAAGTAGCTCGAATCATCCCCAGATGTAATGCATGGGCGGTTTCTGGAACTCCTCTTCGCAAAGACGTCCAGGATCTACGTGGCCTCCTGATCTTCCTTAGGTGCGATGCATTTGCGAACAACAAGGCGGCTTGGACTCGTCTAGACAAGCTGTCTTTCCAAAACATCTTCAACGAGATTGCTGTGCGAAACACAAAAGCAAGGGTTCGTGATGACCTTCAAATACCACCGCAGAAACGTGTTGTCATCACTGTTCCGTTCACGACCATCGAGGAGCAGCATTACAATGAACTGATGCGTCAAATGTGCGATGCATGCTGGCTCACCCCCGAAGGGCAACCGAAAGAAGAAGGTCGCGATGAGACCCACCCAGAGGTTGTCGAGCGCATGCGAGAGTGGCTAATAAGATTGCGCCAGACCTGTCTCCATGCAAACGTAGGTCGAAAGAACAAGAAAGCATTAGGTGCAAAGAACGGTGCTTTGCGTACCGTGCACGAAGTTTTAGAGGTCATGATAGAGCAGAACGACACAAAGTGGAAGGCAGAGGCTCGCGAAATGGTTCTGTGCCTGATCAAGATGGGTCACATCCAAGCATACGCAGGAAACTTCGCGAATCGTGCAAAGTCATCGCTTGAATACTATGATAAAGCACGGACTGAGGCACAATCATATATTGCGATATGCAGAGCTGAGTTACTAGCGGAGCAGCAGAAGCTAGGCCGTGCATCCACAGGTGGCCTCCACGGGGCCGATGAAGACGAAGACATCGACGGAGACAATATGGGTCGCATTCCAGTTCTGCGCAAATCGCTCCGATCATTTCTAGAGCTTGAGCATGCAGCTCAATTCTTTACCGCCACCGCCTGGCATCAAATCAAAGAGAACCTAGAATTGACAAAGCCAGACTCGGATGACTGGCGCGAGAAAGACAAATTGGAGACGGAGTATTACGAAGCGGCCAGGGTAATTCGCCGTGAACTCCTGAAGGAATCGAAGGGCAGAGCACAGCAGCAAATGGCTAAAGTCGATTCAAGAAAGCCTTTCCACCAGATACCTACGATAGCTGACCTTCCGGACCTGGGAGGTATCGAAGCCCGGAAAATTCTCGATACGATGGACAACCTCAGCGATTATCTGAACGAGCAAGCCCAGTTGATACAGACATGGCGTGCAAAAATCGTTGATATTCTCCTAACACGCCTGGTGGATGATGACGACGACAAGGAGACGACGGGTGAAGAGTACGACGATTCTCTCAAAGCTCAGGACGAGCTGTACGTTTACATCATGGCTCTTCGAACCCTTGTTGCGGACCGTAATGCTGCTGTCAACGGTCTGCAGGATAATCTTGTCGAACACGAGCTCAAGGCTGCCGAAAAACAAGCCCTGAAAGGAGACGAAGACAGTGATCGAGGTCACGCGCCTCAACTTCTGCTTGAAGTTATCAATACACGACGTGGATTACAGGCGAAGTTGCAAGCTGGGTCCTTGAAGGGTGTTGTATCTAGTATTCGCTCGCTGATCACTGCTTTGCAATGGAGAGCCAACAGCGGCGATGCTCGGGCTTCCTTAGAACTTGGCGTTCTTCAGAAACAAAACGCCAAGGTTCAGGCCGTTGTCACAGAACAAGCAAAGGTCATTACCGAACTTGAGAAGGAGCAGGAAATGTATCGAGGTACCATGAACCAGCGTCTGGAATATTATCGGCAATTCCAACACATCTCCGATACTGTTGCGAAGTACAAGGAGGAACTAGACAACACATTCGACTCGCGCGAGTTCGACAAGGCCAATCAATTGCGAGAGAGAAAAAAGGATCTTGCTAATGGCTTCAAGACGAAGTGCACTTACCTGAAGCATCTCCGGACTGAGAACCAAAATGAAGCGGCAGCTGAATGCATCATTTGTAGGGAAGACATCGAGATTGGCGTCTTGACAGCTTGCGGTCACAAATATTGCAAAGAATGCATCAATCAATGGTGGCAGGTGCACAGATCCTGCCCAACTTGTAAACAGAAGCTGTCTGGGTCCGATTTTAAAGACATCACATTCAAACCAACCGAGATCAGAGCAAAGGAAGAGACAACCACACCTGCCAGCCCGACACAAGCTTCCACGCCAGACTTTTCTTCAACCACATCTATCTATTCTGACATTTCCGATTCAACGATGAAAGAGATTAAGATGATCGATCTAGAGGGTTCATATGGCACAAAAGTCGACATGATCGCGCGCCACCTAATATGGATCCGTAACAACGACCCAGGCGCCAAATCGATTATTTTCTCTCAATTCGGGGACTTCCTCGAAGTGCTTCGCGATGCACTCAAGAAGTGGAAGATCGGTGCCAGCAACATTACCGATAAAGACGGTATCTGGAAGTTCAAGGCTGACGCTAGCATCGAATGTCTACTCCTAGATGCCAAAACCGATTCTTCAGGCCTAACCCTCGTAAACGCAACATATGTCTTCCTCTGTGAACCACTCATTAATCCCGCAATCGAACTCCAAGCCATTAGTCGCGTACATCGAATCGGGCAGCAGCGACCCACGACAGTATTCATGTACCTCATTAGCGACACAGTAGAAGAAGCCATCTATGAGATATCTGTTGCCCGCCGCCTCGAACATATTAGCAACAATACATCGTCCAAGCTACCTACGCAATCCGGATCCACGACCCCCGCTCTCAAAGAACAGACTCTCGATGCTGCAAACTCGGCTGAACTCCAAAACGCACCGTTTAAGCAACTTATGCGCAAGAAGGGAGAAGGTGAGATTGTCAAGGAAGAAGATCTTTGGCATTGTCTGTTTGGGAACCACAAGAAAAGGACGCAAGTTGTGTTGGAGAGGGAAGTTGCGCGAGAAGTGAGGGCGCAGGCTGTCGAGGCAAGGATAGCGGGTGAAGGTACTGTGGGATCGAGTGGCGCGTCGGTAGCTGCTGATGTGGACATGGCCGGTGGTGATCTCGTTGAGACTTTGCCGATCGTTGGAGGAAGTTCGCGGGACGGTGCTACCAGGTTTTAAAAGTGTTTGGTAGGGCGAGGAGGTGCATGGGCGTTGCATTGAGTTGATACGGATACATACCCAGGGTATACTTGATTAGGGTTTTACGCAAAGGGTCTTCAGACATGCATACATAGTTATGACAATGAGACGCCTAATGACGTGTACGACCATGAGGCATGAAAAATGTTGATGTTGATGCTAATATCGATGTTCACCTGGTAAAAAGAATAGCTCGTAGAGAGCGACTAAAGGCCTGCCTATGTGGTATCATATAAAGAAAAGCCAACGCCGAAGCCAAATGCAAATACAGTGAGGTTGCCAGCCTACCATAACGAAATAAATACTCAAACGCCTCCTCTAGCAAAAGAGGCATCAAAGAGTGTAGAATATATGTACGAAGAGAAGAGAAAATCATGGAATAAACATGAAGCAAAGCGTCGCAGTCTAAGCCCGAGGCGTCCTCCACGCCTTGACCTCCTGCTGCGCGCTCTCGTCAAACCCCGCCCTCTCCATGAGTTTAGTAAATGTTGTGTTGGCAGAGTCGGTTGTGTAGCGATTATCGCGCCGCATACCCGGTGCCTGTGGTGGAGCTAAGAAACTCGGTGCAGGCATCAAGACATCGATAGTTTCTGAGCTGCCGCTCCTTGCCACATTGGGACGGTGTTGTCCTGGCTGTAGTGTGTTAAATGTCTGGGTACTCGTACGGAGAGAACTCGTGCGCCGACTAGCAGAGTGAATGCGTTTCGGTTTTGGGGGCGGAGTTTGGTAAGGATCGGTATATGGATTTCCTGCACGGACGGGGGGAGCGGGATTTGATGGGAGACCACCGGTAAACCCAAAATTTAGTTTGGGAGTGCGGTCCCACATGCTTTTTATCCTGGGTGTGAAGCCGTGGATAGGCGGGTTGGCGTTTGTTTCCTTCATGCCTTGGACGATTCGGTCTGTTGAATTGGGGCTTGAGTGGGCGGAGTGGCTGCCCCGACGCATGAAGTCTGTCCGTGCAGCGTGTTGAGGGTCGTAGATGGGGTCGCTAATTTGACGAGCTACATGGCCAAAGTCGCCAGAGTAGCGCTCCTTAGACTGGGATTCACGTCTTTTCTTGATGATCCAGATCAGGGCCAAGGTGCTGAGGGCGCCGATGACTATGCCAGGGAAGAAACCGGCTGCAAAGGATTTTCCGTCGAAGCCCTGCTTTGTTTGAATGGGTGCGGTTGCTGGGCAATTGGAAGTCTGTGACGCGGAGGCGGGGCTAGTGGAGGAAGGCGTTGCGTTTGCAGATGATGTTGGAGATGGGGTCGGCGATGGGGAGGTGTCTTTGGCGCACATGGTGCCCTGACATGTGTAGCCTAATGAACAGCATTTGTCACCACATTTAGGTAAGTCGATACCGTCAGTCTCGGAGAGATGCATCTGGTTGTCTGGGTGCAGGGTAGCGTTCAGCTGCGTGGTGTCGCAAGTGGTTGGCTGAATGTAGGCGCAGTCTGAACCGGATGGGCAGCAGATGACTGATTGTATGTCTCCACCGTTGAGAGCCATGCATGTTGAGTCCTTGGGACAGCAAAAGGAAGACGGGAAGTCTGATCCGCACTGCTGCAGGTCTGCGTTCCCTCCGCATGTTTCTGCTTGACGGAGAAAGAGATGCGATGCATGCGTAGCTGTGATGAGCGAGGCAAAGAGGCATACGAGGGATATCCTCGAAAGCCTGGGAGGTGATGTAGCTGGAGCCATTGTCTTGGAGATGGAAGTGTGGTGACAGTATTATGGTCAAGAGGTCGGACCGGCGAACCTCAAAGAAGTGACTTGAGTGTGTGAAACAGTGGGATACGGAAGCAATGCGAAAGCGATATGGAAGCGATATGAAAAGAGACGTACGAAACAATGGAATGAGCAGACAAAGACAGGCCCTACCTTTGGGATATTTACTGCGAAAAATCTAGAGGCGAGTGACGTTCCTCACCGCGAGATGGGAAAATCGGGCTCTGTCGTGTCCACCCATCTCGTCGGCTAAGTTCCGAGAATAGAGCTCTGTTTCGCGCCGAGTGGACAATGGGCATTGTATGGCGGGTGTAGGGTTTAGCTAGCACGGTCGCAGTGGCAGGTGACTCTGGTGTTTGTGTGGCTATGCATGGACGGGGAGTCGAGTGGATGAAACGTGTGATGCGGGCGCTTGGAGGGTGCGAGGTTTTGCCCACCAGGGCTGCCGTGGTGAGGACGCGTCGTGATTGGATGGGGGTTTTAGCGCGATGATTCGAGCCCGGGAAAAAGATGAGCTTGGAGAAACGACTTGCCGACGACAATTCGATCGCTTGCCCGACAATCACCACACATATGATGATTACACGGTGTCTGGCCCGCCGGCCGGGTGCATTCCAGTCTGCGGCCGGGGCTTGGAGGGTACGCTGGGCTGTCAAGCATATACGTCGTGGGTGAACTGACGTGGGATAGAGAATACCATCGCCCGCCGCCCGCAACATCTACACGGTGCCCCCACTGGACAACCATGCCGTGATCGAGCAGAATGGCGTCCCCGGGCTGCTCTCGCCAAAGGGCTTCAACACAGCATACACCGAATACCAAGGCCACATTGTTGACGAGTTGAATGCGTCGACAGCGGGTACGATGGATGCAATTCAAGATCAAGACTGTGCCAGAGGCTAATGTCGCTCTTGCAGGTACACAATTCGAGAACCAGGAAGCCAAGGCCCTCGTTGTAGACTTTGCCCGCGATCCCATGAAAGCCTACGCCTTCAACATTGCCAGCATGGCCTTCAACAACCATTTCTTCTTCCGCGGCATCAACGCCAATCCCGACGTACAGTCGCGGCCGTCGACCGACCTCACCAAGCTCATCAGCCGCGACTTCTCGTCCATGGAAACATTGCGCGAAACATTCCTCGCCACGGCCGAGGCCATGTTTGGCCCCGGCTTTGTCTGGCTCGTGCAGACCAATGACACCAGCTTCGGCAGCCTGCGCATCTTGCCCACATATCTCGCCGGATCGCCGCTGTCGGGCGCTCACCACAGGCGGCAATCGCACGATCTCAACACACACAACGTCGATTCATATCAGGGAATGAACAAGGTCGGGTCGTTTGGTGCGGCGTCGCAGCAGCAGGATTCGAGGGCCAAGAAGCCGTTGGGCGGCATCGATGTGGTACCACTGCTGTGCGTAAACACATGGGAGCATGTCTGGTTGCAGGATTACGGTGTCCGGGGCAAGAGGGCATTCCTCGAGAAGTGGTGGGACAGGATTGACTGGGACTTCGTGGGGCAGAACGCAACACTGTCGCCCAACCAGAACCGATCCTTCTACTAGGATAGGGATGGGGGGCTGTATATTGCATGTAGACATATGTGTATAAGACATCTGAAACGACATGAATGCATCTTTGCATGGTCCGTCTTGGGCATGTACTCTACAGGCATCTAGTGGCACACACCCAAATGTCATGACTGCTCGTCGCTGCATTCGCCGGAGCCGTCAAGACTGCATGCGTCCTGTCTGTATGGGTCGTTGTTGCCCAAAGCTGCCGGTGAACTTGCTTGGCGAACGTATTTCAACACTCGCAGTCCCTCAGACATTGCTGCAGCTGCAAAGAATCCCGAATCATGCACATGCCTTGCTTCCCCGCGTCGCGAATCCTACCAAATACAGCGCGCACATCTACTGACCTGTAGCACATCACCATCAGAAGCCCAAGCCTGGTCTGATCAACAGCCAAGTTCTCACCGGATCCTCCATCTCACGCCACCATATACCGGCCTCTCAAGGCGGATTCAAAGCATAGATTCGCGACGCGCTTGTCTTCTCTTCTCAGCTTGAGCCTCAAAAGTTATCAGGTGGCCAACCCCATCCCGTAAAGCCGGCGTCATCCTGTGCCACACCATTGGCGCGCCTCTAGTCAACCGTTGACGCGCAACGCTCGAAGATTCTGCCCGCGGATGCTTCGGGATGAGAATTTGGACAGATGCATTGGAACAGAGGGCTTCAGCAAGTCCTCGGGTTTCAGATGCGGGCGGAAATCCTTTGAGGCTTCCTGTGCAGACATAGCCGTCTGTTAGAAACACTGAAGAGAGTGCACAGCCTTCGCCTTGCAGCTTACGATGCACCGGTCTTCGTGGAGCCTTGTGGCCGCTCCTGCATGAGTTGAATGGTTCGCGTGCTTGCCTGCCTTCAGCCGTGGTCTTGGCCAATCACCGAGCCGTGATCTCCGCCCGATTTAGTCGTCGGTCAATGAGAGCCCTGCATTAATTCCTACACTATGACCTCACACAACTCTAGGGTTAGTTAGTTTGGAACACATATCGAAGGATTTCGACTCTGTTCGGTTCGGGTGCTTCTTCCCCAAGACTCTATTTCTCCACACCGCTCGTTTCGCCACTTTTCTTCCATCTAGGAATCGAATCCTCAAGGAGAAAGAGATGGCGGTCTTAGCAGATATTCTACCGGTGGTTTCGAGAAGCTCAGCTCTCGCGCTGAAACTCTACGGTATTGCTGCTGAGTCACCTGGGTCAACGAAAGATTTAGTTGGCGTTGCGAATAGCATAAATGGATTTGCTGCAATACTGAAGCAGTTGGGGACCATTATCAAAGAAGATGATCGTCTACCATCACCTGAGGTACGTAAAGACGATCGCCGTGGATTTATGAACGACACAACGATGGGGGGTCGTGAATGAAGTTCATGAGATGAAGATTTTGAGGTCACTGCGAATTCGTTTTTTGCGATTGAGGCACTTGAGACGCAAGAGATCCAAAACATATGTCATTACATTACTTGACAAAGCTCTGTCGTTCCTCGCTGATTATAGACATAGGCTATCGATACTCTGGACGACGTCATCGATCAAGCCCAAATATTACTTACCAGCTTTGAATCGACTTCATCAATCGAGGATGAGAAGCATCGCGATCAAAGAGACATTTCCCGCTCTACTCAAAAAATTCGGTCTCAGTTAGATCCTTCAACCAAGGCTAGCTTGGACTATCTCACTGCTCACCTGGAAGCCCTGAGCATGACGCTCTCTGTCCTGCTCCAGACGCTCTACGCAGCGCAGACTATAATGTGGTCAAAGTTAGTTCTGTCCCCTACAAGGCATCTAGCCTTCATCAGACTGCTACGAATGGCTCAGATTCCTTCCATGGAGTACGCTGACAGCGCCATAGAGTACGTCCTACGGTATCTCCACAACAAGCCGCCAAACTTGTTGATAGTGAAAGGATCCAACTGGAAACGTTGATTGTTCAACAACAGTTGTCAATTTTATCAGCCTCGAACCTCTACGAAAATTTGTCTCAATCTGATGCGCGTCTGTTGTTGATGGAAGGAGACAGTTCTCAGAGTTTGATCGTCACTGGGCGGGGCAAAACCCCTAGGTCATCTACCCTACGTTCGTATCAGGATGAAGATTTGACAAGTCTCGACACATCAATATATACTGAAGCGAACGGATTACCAGCAGTTCTGACTGCATCGTCTTCACGTGTCGAACGCTTGTTGCAGCGATGGACAAGCCTCCCTCTCTTTGAACGCCGCTTACAAGACGAAGAGCGCGAAAGGCAGAGGCAAAGATGGGAAACTCAACAAGCCACTGTGGAATCTGATAGCGAAGAGGAAAGTCGCACGTCAAAGCTGTCAGGCGACGGTGCTCGCCGAACGCATAGGTCAGGAAGCATACAGCCACTATTTACTGAGGTCAATGGCACGCCCAGTCCGCCACAGGAGAAGCAGTACGGTCCCACCACGCCGCCAACACCCATCGCTACACCACGTACGTCACGAACAAGTATGCCACCAGCTACCAATGAGCAGTACCCAACTGCATCACCCCGATCGAGTTTGGGAAGTTTGCCGGTCGAGGCAGCCGCCGCGGTAGAAGCCAAAGAGGAAGACAGCGAAGCCGATCTAGAAATTCCGTGGAAGTTGTGTACGCGTAAATACTACTGGCGATTTGTTGATGCTAAAATGGTCAGCTCAAACACTGACCAGGCATACTCTCTGGCGTATTTGGAGCGTAGCAGCTGGACTGAGATTATGGCGAGTTGGGTATGCAAGGAAGCAATCAGAGAGGCGGGTTTCAGATATACATCTTACCAAAAGGAGCGGAAGGACAACAGGAGGATAAGGGGCGAAACATGTTTCTGTATCGAACGGCCACTACAGTTTGAACAGGTCAAGCGTCTTGTCGAACGGACAGTTGACATATACCGAAAGGCAGCAGCACCTACTCCACTTCAGCAGCCACAAGTTAGGAGATCGTCTTTTAATCGTCCCCCACCGCCACATGGTATTCTGAAAGGAGGCGCATTCGATCGAAACCGAACACCAGTGCCTCGGAGCACACACCCCCCGCTTGACCGCTCGAACACCTCAAATCACCTCCCGCCACCACCTGGGCCACCCCCACTAGATCGATCACTCTCAATGCCTGGACCCGGGCTCATTCCACCACCACCACCACCACCCCAGTCAAACCTCAACTCTCGGACTCCAAACCTCCAGATACCAATGTCAAACCAGTACGCCCCTCAGCAACCGCCAGTTCCTCAGTCTTCACGACTGCCTCAATACCCACCACAAACCAACAGCTACCCACCGCAAATGATGAACACAACAGCAACACCTCAATACTTCCCACCACCACCACCGGCCAATGCCCCTTTCACAAACCCACCTTTACCCTCACATTCACAGCCTCAAAACCAGAATTACCCCATACAAGCGTCTCCTCTCCGCCAATCCTACATGCGTCCAAGCAACCGACGGTACGAAGATGACTTCACAACATCCGAGTCTGAACCCGAACGCCCTAGACGACGTAGGTCAAAGTCGAGGAGTAGAATGTATGAGAAAGAGCGGGAAAGGGAGAGAGACAAGTATGGAAAGAAGAGTCATACAGGAAGGAAGGCGGCGGCGGGCGCCCTATTGGGTGTTGGTGGGCTGACGGCGTTGTTGGATGGACTGAGTGGGCTGTAAGATTCACAGACATTTACTATCTTGGCTTTCCTGTCACTTAATGTGCTGATGGGGAGAGGTTGTGCCCTCTCGAGTGGAGTGTGTAGTATCTAGCGTATACGTAACTTGTACAATGAGTCATGAAATAATGATTACGATGTATCTTTTACTGTTGCACTTTTCTGGTCATGCTCGATTAGACAGTCAAGGGATGATCGCGGGATTGGAAGAGGGAGCCTAATTGGAGGCAGACATGGATTATAGCAACAAAGTAGGAACCTCGATAACGACCTAATCGTGAGGCGCTTGAAACAGGAACACACACAAAAAAGAACCCTAGGACGATAAGAAGAAGAACAACAATGCCAGCATCCATCTCTTCCCGCTACTCAGCCCTTACGTTTTCTTCACCCTCAATTCGCGTCTCTGGGTGAGCCAAGGGGGACAAACTCCAAAAACTCCATATACGGCACGAAGCAATCCAAATGATTCGGTATTACTCTCTCACTCTTACGGCGGACACGCTGGCCTGTCGTATCCGAATTCCATTTCTTCTTTCTCCTTTCCAAGTGGCTAGGTACGTAAGAAAGAGTGTCCTGAGTAGGTGCTATTTCGAAGTGTTGGGAAGTCGTAATCGAATTGGTGGGAGGCGTTGGGGGCTCGAATATAGTTGTCGTTGCTACTGAGCAGACCATGATAGGCGAAGTAGAAGTTTCGTTGTTGAGGGTTCCTTCCGACGTGATCGGATCAGGCAGAGTGCTTGGATCAGCGAGTCCATCTGTATGTGGTCGTATTTTAGTCGTGTCGTCCATATTCTCTAATCCAGCATCTGCCTCGGATCCGGCCAGCTGCCCGTCGACGCCTTCCACGATCATCGGAGGTTCAACCACTGCACATGTTACACCTTCAGCTTGCGCTCTCGAGGACATGACCATCTCCTCGCCCAGACCCCCGGTCGGTTGCTGTACAATCACACTCTCAGCACCAGCCCCAGCGCCATCGCCACCCCAAAACCCTGTTCTGCGCCCTTCAAGCAGAAGCTTCGATTCCTTCTCATTTTGAATTAATGAGCAGCAAGGGCACAACCAGGTCTTTGCACAATCTGCAGCACAGGTCCCGCCTAGATCGCCTATTCTGCGAATGCGAAATGTTTGCCATGCGTTTGGGATACAGACGAGGAATTGGTGGGCGAGCGGGGTGCAGCAGAAGACCGAGTAGCCGTAGGCTATGCACTGTTTGTGTTTTGTTCTATTAGTCAGAGAATGGAGAGTGAAGTGGATTGAGCTGGATTGTTGTATAGAAGGTAGGCGTAGAAAAGAGAGAATACTTACCGGTACATTGACAATCTCATACCCGCTCATATCGCCATTGTAATGAAGACGATGCCATGTCTTTCCACAGGTAACGCAAGGACAGAAGAAAGTGACAAGACCTACCATACTCATTAATCCCATTCTCACTTCGACAAATGAGAAGAACTTACATAGTGGCAGGGGATTCAGGCAATCCTACAAACTGGTATTCCACGGCTTGGTACGATTTATGTCTGCTTCAAACTCTTCCCTTGCTTCTGCAGTCCAGTCTATGAACTGTGCGCGGCAATGTTTTCCCCATTTCACGAGATTGTCGCGTGTCTTTTGGAGTAATGGGTGGCCTGCCAGGCGGTCGGGCATTGTAGTGTGACAAGATAGCTTTTCTGGCGAGGAGATAGCTTCAGCCACACGTTTCGGGTCTGCGGAACAAGATGTATGCGGTGCTAATTATACTGATATCCAATGAGTACGTGTACGAGGAATAGAGTGGTTGGCGGGTGGTGTGGGCGAGACGATGTTGATGACCAAAGAGAGCCTGGGATACAAGTAGATGCGTGAGGAAGTGATATTGACGGCATCTGCTTCGTAAGGCAAGAACGAGAGTGCCAGTCGTCTTGCAAGAACGGTAATGACGGGAGAAAGAGCCACCGCCTAGTGAGGCCAGAATCGTCTCTCAGTCCCAAGTTACCAGGTTAGATCCTGAAGCATGTTGTAACACTACGTCAAGGGGAGAAACTAAACATCTTATTAGAGCAGAGTACTTCTTTTTACTACAATAAATTATATTATAGCTTATAGATATCTATAGAGAATCTAGAATTCTATAATGCTATCAGTCTACATAATCTCTATTGTTAGGAGCTAATGTAAGCTGTAAGGTATAGCTTGGTACCTTCACCTGTTCGGTTTTTCTCGTGTATAGGGTGCAATGTCTTGGGTGATGAACGAAAGTTGAGACAAATGGCTGAAGATGACTAGGCCACATCATGTGGATCGCATGATACTCGCCGGCCTAGAGCTACCATCTTCAACATCACAGCAAATAAAGGATAGAGTTGCAAGTATGAAATCGCATGCATTGTACAGGCTACGCATGTCGGCAGCCCGCACTAGTCTATGTAACTAATCATCTGCTGGAAACTATACTTTTATCAGATTCCTTCCACCCAAGTCACTGGGTCAGGTCCGCACATGTGCCTGCAAACCAGAAAGAGCTTTTAAATCCCACCGCCGAGCTGGCCTTGGAAAGACAGCCACCATGATGGTTACCACAAAGAACCGGGGTATCTTCCTTCGTACAAGGGTTGGGTCGTGGATAGACCTTCATGAACGCCATCTATGCAGGAAACTTTTCCGTCGTCCAAAACAAGGTCATGCTGCTACTCTCCGCGTGTGGAGAGACTGAGTGACGCAAGGACGACGAGAAAGGCGTTGTCGCCGAGGGGTATGACCGGGAAAAAGGAATCGCTTTTGTCGTAAGATAAGGAAATGCTCAGAGGTCATCCGCGTGTGGACGACTCGGAAAGCGAGAATCTATGGCTCCCCAAGCAGCATGCTTGCAGAAGAGCGAAGTCGTGAAATGTTCGTAATGCATGCCTTTCCGGGAAAGACGAGGGTCCTGCCATCTATGTTCGAGCTCGACAAATGTGCGTCGAAGGGTATCGTATGCGAGAAGAGCTCGAAAAACAGGCAGATCCGCAAAAAAACAATCGCTGTCTATATGCTGGTTGGGGTATGAGATTCCTGATTTCCGCATCGATCCGCGGTAACCGGGAAGGAGTCGCAGAAAACATTCGAGAGTAAAGAAAATCGAAAGCAAGCCATCGGTAGCAGCGACACGAAGGCCCAGGGTATCATAGAGAAGAAAATGTGTCCCGGGCTGGCTACATCGTGAAGCGGTGCGATGCACGTTTACCACCAGGAGTTGCCACCAGGGCCGGATGGGTTGCCGTAGCCTCCACCAAAGCCACCACCACCGCCAGAGTAGCCACCAGGAGCTGGAGGAGCGTAGCCGCCGCCGGGAGCGCCGCCATAACCACCTCCGTAGCCGCCTTGAGGAGCACCACCCCACTGACCGCCACCACCGAAACCACCACCGCCGCCCATACGACGAACGTCACGGGTAGCAGCGTTGCCACGGCCACGGCCGCCTCCGCGTCCACCACGGCCTCCACCGAAGCCGGAGCCTTCGCGGGCAATGGACTCGAGGAATCCAGGGACCTCCTGGTTGGCCTCCTTCAACAGGTCAAGGAGATCGCGTACGACTCCGCGGTTGCCGCGGTTGAAGAAAGCAGTGGCAATACCAGTGTTTCCAGCACGTCCAGTACGACCGATACGGTGAACGTAATCGTCAATATCGGTGGGCAGGTCATAGTTGACGACGTGGGTAACTATAGAGAAATTAGTATCTGTTCCACATGCATTTCGTACGGGGTCCACAAACCGTTGGGGATATCGAGACCTCGAGCAGCTACAGCAGTAGCGACAAGGATGGGACAACGTCCGTTTCGGAACATCTCCAGAGCCTTCTCACGCTCGCGCTGAGTACGGTCACCGTGAATGGAGGTGGCAGGGAAACCTTGATTGATAAGGAAGTCCGACAAGGAATCGGCCATACGCTTGGTCTCAACGAAGATCAAGGTAAGACCAGCACCATGAGTGTGAAGGATATCCAGGAGGACAGAACGCTTATCAACGTCCTCGACGTACTCAATCTTCTGGGTAATGTTCTCAGAAGTAGAACCGACACGACCGACCGAAAGGAAGATGTAGTCCTTCAAGAAGTCGCGGGCAAGCATCTGAATGTCGCGAGGGAAAGTGGCCGAGAACATGAGTGTCTGGCGGGCAGCGGTAGGAGGCATGTCCTCGCCCTCAACAATGCGGCGAATTTGAGGCTCGAAACCCATGTCCAACATGCGGTCAGCCTCGTCGAGAACCAGGTACTTGATGCTAGCGAGGGAGATACGGCCGCGCTCGATCAAGTCGACCAGACGACCAGGAGTAGCGACGAGAAGATCGCAGCCGCGCTCGATCTGGCGAAGCTGGGAACCGATGTCGGCACCACCGTAAACGACACAAGGGCGGACCCACGAGCGGTAGGCGAACTTGCGGGCCTCGTCGAAAATTTGGGAAACCAACTCACGGGTAGGAGCAAGGACAAGCGAGGTGGGGTAAGCCTTGCGTTGACGTCCATAGCCACCCTGAGCCGTTGCGGGAGGAGGAGAAGGGCCGTTCTTGAAAGCCTGGGCAAGAATGGGGAAGAGGAAACCACCAGTCTTTCCGGAACCGGTCTGGGCACAAGCCATGAGATCACGGCCACCCATGACGATAGGGATGGAGTACTTCTGGACTGGTGTGGGGACCTTGTATCCGGAGAGCTCGATGTTGCTTAGCAGGTGGTCGTCGAGAGGCGGGTTTGTGAAACGTGTGACGGGTTCGGGAACACCCTGACCAGAGGCCTCAACGGGGATGTCATCGTACTTCTCGAAGTTGATACCGGTGTGCTGCTTGGAGGGGTCGTTGGGCATGCCGAAGAGGTCGCGCTCAAGACGCTGGTTGGGAGGGCCAGGGACGTGCTTGCCGTCCTTCCAGGCACCGTCACCAGATCCGCGAGCACCTCCAGAGCCGCCACCACCAGGCTTACCGTAAGCGTTGGGGTCAAAGTTGCCGCGAGGGGCACCGCCCCATCCACCACCTGGGGGACCATCGCGACCGCGGGGAGTGAAGTTGGGTGCGTTGGCCCAGCCACCGGCACCACCGCCGCCGTTCATCTGAGAGGGAGGACCCTGACTGTCACCCGTTAGCATACCTTCCTGTTTTGTGTCTTGGGTATTGACTAACCCTCCTGGTCCCCAAGCGCTGCCACCGAGACCGCCGCCGCCGTTCATCATCGGGGGCGGGCCGTCCATGGGTGCAGGGCCGCCCTGGGGACGGCCGCGAAGGTGGGGAGGGATGTAGGCAGAACGCTCGCCATTGAAGCCGTTCTGGTTGTTGTGCTGGGACTCATTTATGTTGAGACGACCCATGTCGAGTTGGTCAGCCATGATGGGCGTGGTTGGGTCGAGTAGGCTGAAGGTGTGGTTGTGTGTATAAGACGAGGGCAATATGCAAGTCGCAAATTACTGTTTTACTGGCTTCGGCTGGCTCGGCGGTGAGCGACAGACGAAAGAAAGCAGGTCTAAGTGACGAAACTCGTAACTCGCAGGCGGGTGCCTGAGACTCGTTCTGTCAGGAAAGAAGGGAACGCCTCTGTCCTGGAAAACGAGAAGTAAAGAAGTGAAGACCAAAAGAAAGGACTTCACAGAAAATGTGCTTGTAGGGTTGTGTAATACACACAGAATAGTTTTGAGGGTGGGTGGTTAGGGAAGAGGGAGAACGCAGCAGGTAAGTTAAAAAAGCGTGTCGGAGAACCCTTCCCGCACTAGACCCTGTGTGGCGCTAGCGCTCCCTCTCAGAGTTCTCAAGCTGTGGCGAGTGGGGAGCGGTGAACGTCACATATGGATCCTGTCGTGTGCTGCAGCCGGCTTGCTTTTCATGCGACATGCACTGTGACATGGCCTCGGTGGATGTAGTGGCGGCTTTGCCTGGCTCTTGTGCAGGTTCCAGGCCAGTTTGTG